TGTATCGCTGAAGTTCCTCGGAAAGAATTTATACCGGAAATTAACAAACGAGCAGATACGTAACAACATATAACAGTTTACGTGATTTTTTATCACACATTTTAGACCAATTGGGTTCTACTGCTTCGCCAAGTTTTGGCGCTTAAACCATAACATCTATAATTATTTAAGTTAAATACGCATGCAAATATTCTAACTATATTTCCGTCAGAAGGGTAACTTCCGTTTCTAAGTAACTTTTGTATTGGTCTAATGGAAATTGGTACTTTATTAAAATCTGTCGAATATCCGAAACCCTGGAAAATGGAATCATTCATTACAGATCGCGGCAACTTTCAATGAGTCGTGTACTGAGTGCGCATGTGCAATAAAGTAGTTAATTGAGCATGCGCAATAAGTACTGTAGTTGAAGCTGATTTAGGGTGACTCCTCACACAACAAGGTTTAATTTCAAATTAGTATAGCAGTCGCGTTTGAGAACAACGCAGGCCATGCGACGTGCTGGAGAACGAGCAGTTCGTGTGATTGCCGCGTGTATAGAGCACGTGAGTTCTACTTGACTTGTTGTGACCATAAAATGAACATTAATAATAATCAACTGAAAGAAAATCAGTAAAGCAAAAAATGTATTTTCGTACTTATTTTTATTGACTTTGTTTTAAAAAATATACCTCTTTTACTTTTATTGTGACATTTCTTTTTAAATGTCCCAAAACGATGTTTCAGATTCTTGCCTCATGCACCGGTAAATTAAATATAATTATATAAGCCGTGGCCTATTGAACCACGAAAGTTAAGGCTAACTGCTCTCAACTATTTAAAATTTTTGTCAAAATTAGACTTCTTAAGAAACGTCGACACGTATTTTTTAAATTAGATAAATATACAATTTGGCCTTGTCTTTGTGTTTGTTTGCCAAAGAAGACCGTGTCTCGTGAAGTGCGAAGTAAAAACCAAAGTTTAACCACTTGACGAAGAAAAATATGTTAATCTTAAGAACGACCTTATTGGCACTTCTTCTGTATTCTCACCAGTCAGAAGTTAAATGTCAGGTAAGACTACCAGACTCATTGTTTATTTGTAGTGTGTATTTTCTGACTAGTTAAACCTATTCGTTTGTTTGTTTTCCTCTATAATACGTAAACAGGCAAAGCTAGAGTTTATTAATAGCTCTTTAACGGAATTTAACGTGAAACTAATTTTTAAGAAAATAATTGGACATATTTGTTTCGAATATATATATTTGTGTTTGATCTTATACATTCGTGCATGAACCTCTACGAAACACACAGACATATATATATATATTCATAGGTGACAGAACCGGCGTATTGGGGGCATGTGTCCCCAATTTTTGACTCTATAGTGAAGTATTCCTTTGAATGTGGAATAGAGTATAGTGTATAATTATCATGGAAAAATCACTATTTCAACACAGCATGTAAAGTGCTCACAAATCGTCGCTGCCATCTCAGACTTGTGTATATATCTATAATACACATGTACACACACACATTGATGGTTTACACTTTTGCTCAAGACAAATAATGTGTAATTAGAAAAGTGAAGCATCTAATAACTTATGCATGTAGCCTCGTGAAATTTCAATTTCAAACATCTATTGATTTGAACTCAACAAAAGGCTCACCGACACATATCACTAATGAATAGTAGAAAAAAAACACAACTTACTGGTATAATGATTTCTATTTTCAGTAGTGGGCCAAGCGCGCGACCTATCAGACCAGGGATTCATGAAAACAAACAAAAAAAACGCACACTGCACCTTTGGGGTCGCGGGTGTGTCATAAGAGTGACGAGTAATCTAACACTTCATAATTAAGGATGGCTAGCCTTATGTAGCTTTACTTCATAATTAAGGATGGCTAGCCTTGAGTAGCTTTACTTCATAATTAAGGATGGCTAGCCTTGAGTAGCTTTGCGCAAAATTCCACAAAACAAATAAATTTCCAGTAGTGTTTTCAATTTACATTATCTATATTTTTATGTTCTTGAGGTAGAAAATAATTAAGGAATACAACAAATACATTGAAACTAGATGGTTGGATAGTATCTGTTAAAATATAATATTTTCAATAAATTGATAGTAATTTATGAACTGACACAGTACCTGTGCTAAGTTGTTGAAATTAATAATGATTTATGAACTAATACAGTACCTGTGCTAAGTTGTTGAAATTAATAATGATTTATGAACTAATAAGTACCTGTTATAAGTTGTTGATGCAAAATAAAAACAAAATATGTCTGTCTTCTTTTGATGACTTTAATGAAATAGATTGGTGAACATTCTCCTAAGTTTTTAGCCAGTTAGTTCTCCTCTCTCCCAACTTTCTTTGAGTAAAATTCATCATTGATTTTTTTCTCAGTAGACTGTGTCAGTAAATAATATATACATATATTTATTTTCATGCACAGACAGACTGACAATAAAACAGCTTCTTTGGGCTTGGTTAAGAAAAACCGGTTTACCTAAGAATAAGTTGAAATTCCTTTTACAGAACAAGCTTTTCCCCATTACTCATTGGTAGTTGTTGAAAGTTTGAAAATAAAAGCGTATCTTAGAAGGAATGATCAATGAAAGAACGTTCTGTAAAGACGACACAATGCAGATTGAGCTTTCAATTCGACCGCCCATGCCTTCCTTTCATTGTCCACCTACACCTTTTGTAGACTGTGTCTCTTAAGAACTATAAAGTTATTCGACTAACCGAAAGCTCTTCCAAAGACCCGATTATCTAGAGGGGGTCTAGAAAGAACAAGGTTTTTCCCTTTTAAGTAAATACAGGGTTAGAAAGAGAGGGGATAGGGGAACTGACCACCCACATCTGACAACAAACGCGGTATATATATATTTACGGGTTAACTCGCATGATGCCCTTCCCTTAATTATCTTTAACACAACCCATGCTTTAGCTTATTTGTAGTTATAGTATTGGTCCAACTCCACTTTAGCTTGACTACCCAATTAACTTAGTGGCATTTTGTGGAATAAGATTAAGTTTCGATTAGAGTAGTAAACGTGCATTAAGGGCTCTTTAAACATACTTTACTATATTTATCATTAATGTTATTATGTTTAGAACACCATGTTTCACTGTGATTAGCCAAATGCTTTATTGTGTTTTAAGTGTTGCAGTTGTCACTAAATCGCATAATTTCAACAGATTATAAGTGAAACACCGAAGTAACAACCTATTGTCTACATCTTATGTTTTCTAACCAGGATATTAGTCTTATGTACTGACTAGAATACAAACCAAGTAACTTCTCTATCAGCTCGAAAGTGAAACAATATTGCTGATACAAAGCCTACTCATTCATTTAGGCTAGATGAATTTATTGGAATCAATTTTAGCAATCAATTGGAGTCCATAGAAGTCCCTAAAACGTGTTGGTGCTAACCCACCCATTTAACTGGAGAAAACTACCTCTGTAAAACAATTTTAACTGTTACACATGCCGTTTACTTGAAGACTAAACACAATATAAAACATTGTATGTACTTATTAATAGTTGTTTTTGTTTGTTTTTTTACTTCAACAAACATGATGCTTTAGTCAACCTTTTTAAAACTCGATCTTGCAACATCAGTGTGTATAATATTGTGCTTGCTTCGGGATATTTTTACAGTTTTTTGTGTTAAAAACCAATGAACACTGTACACCGTGCTTAATTGATCAGCACATAACCAAAGTTTGTTTATTAAATGGCTTATTTGAATTTTAGGCCTAATTGTTTCAATTCAAAATGGCCTGGCATGGCCAGGTGGTTAGGGCGCTCGACTCGCAAACTGCGGGTCGTGGGTTCGAATCCCCGTCACACCAAACATGCTCGCCCCTTTCAGCCGTGGGGGCGTTATAATGTGACGGTCAATCCCACTATTCGTTGGTAAAAGAGTAGCCCAAGAGTTGGCGATGAGTGGTGCCTTCCCTCTAGTCTTACACTGCTAAATTAGGGACGGCTATGCGCAGATAGCCCTCGTGTAGCTTTGCACCAACGAACCAATCAAGGCAAAATATTTGATCGTGCATTGGTAATTTTAAACTGTACAGAACAAAGCCAGAGCACGATGAAATATTCCTAACCATAGTTTTCACGGTACATTAAATATACTGTTTTCAGGAGTTTCCTCGTCCCAAATCAGGGACTGTTTTGTTGCAATAGATAATTTGGTCATGATTAGCTGACCTTGAGTTAGGGTTTAGAAGCGAAAATAAAAGGTATCTTCTCAAATTAAATGTACAATAGTTTAGTGGCCCGGCATGGCCATGTGGTTAAGGCACTCGACTCGCAATCTGAGGGTCGCGGGTTCGAATCCCTGTTACACCAAACATGCTCGCCCTTTCAGCCGTGGGGGCGTTATAATGTGACGTTCAATCCCACTATTCATTGGTAAAAGAGTAGTCTAAGAGTTGGCGGTGGGTGGTGATGACTAGCTGCCTTCCCTCTAGTCTTGCACTGATAAATTAGGGACGGCTAGCGCAGATAGCCCTGGTGTAGCTTTGCGCGAAATTCAAAACAAACAAACATCGAGTTTGAATATAATAATTTATCCTGGAGCGTTATTAGTCGGATACATCGAGTTTGAATATAATAATTTATTCTGGAGTGTTATTAGTCGGACACATCGAGTTTGAATATAATGATTTATCCTGGAGTGTTATTAGTCGGATACATCGAGTTTGAATATAATAATTTATTCTGGAGTGTTATTAGTCGGACACATCGAGTTTGAATATAATGATCTATTCTGGAGTGTTATTAGTCGGATACGTCGAGTTTGAATATAATAATCTATTCTGGAGTGTTATTAGTCGGAT